CGCCACCACCATCATCATCCTCGTCGTGGTCGTCGTCGTCAGAGAGCTTGATGTAACACGACAGTAGACTCAAGTACCACCCGGGCTAGAAGGGTTATTTGAGGTAGACCGATAGCCATAGCCAAAAGGGCAACGAAGGGAATTTAATTGCCATAACTTGAAGGATTGATATATTTCTCGAGGGCTTCCTGCCAGATCTGGTTTTTGTCGACCGCTTAGCTAGACAAGTCTGTCTAACACTGTGTTAACCAGCTTAAGATTAGGAATAGAGTTGAAGGTATAGGAAAAATTCCTTTCTGGTTGTTTTTCAGGGAGAAACTGCAGAACTACAGTGTGCGTCCTCGTCGGACTGTGGTTACATTTATTTCAAGTTTTGATGACGAAAATGTTAGTGTGCTTCCAATAACGCTGTTTGGCAGGGGCCACACGCTGAAAAACTCTGGTAACATTCCTTGGTGAACTAAGGCCGAACTTCTTCAAAATTAGTGTCCTGTTGGATTTAGAAACGGAGTTTCCAGTTTAAAAGCAAACACTCAGAATTCTAGTGCTTATTAGTCTGTCCATTCAGGGGAAGTTCGATTGATAGTTATTTCCTTCCGAAAGGGAAGTTAGATTTTGAAAAGAAGTTACACGATCATTTTGGTCGAGTAGTGAATTAAAATTCAGATATTTAATTCCACTGAACACCCGCCGTGGCACTCTTGTTAAATGCGGATTTTAATATCATTGTTGAAGGCCACGTCATCCATTTCGTCAAAGGGCTTACTTCTTAAATTACGGCGTCGATGCGAGCTAGGGCGTGCAAACGAACGCTACTCAGGCTTTTCAGAACCATCTTCGCCGTCGGGCCAAAGATCGCCACCGACCTCCCTTCCAAGCTACCGTACTGGGGGTTCTGCTGTTCTTTGCGGTCCGCCTTGTACTGTTCAGGTAATTTTTTAGCTCCTTAAGCGTTTCTGAATCACCCCACTTGCTGTTTGTAATTCACAAAAACCTTATGCCAGGTGTATGAGCTAATTTTGACCCATACAGCACTCGTGGAGAGTTCGGCACAAGTAGTCATTCATCTGCGAAAAAAAGTTTGAAATATATTGTATAAGATGATCCGATGGATCTTCATATACCGAGTGGCTAAATGAGCACTCAGATTTTCAGATTTGTTACGTATTACTAATAGAATGTGCTTCATTTGGTGTAGCCGAATTATTTTTTCGAGTTTATTATATCATCTGCAGCTTGAAAACCCGTTTAGATAATTTGTTTGTTGTCCGACTCGGAGCACTGGGTACGACAGCCAAGAGCAATAAAAAATTCACAAAGACGAAAAGGTTTACTCTGAGACGGAACCGAATTGATGGCCATCGAATTCTTCACACCTCAGACACCTGAGCTACACCCACCAAACACGGACTAATTGACGTCCCTTTATTCTTTAATCGCTAGGCGGTTCTCGTGTAGCTATTTGCTTTGTCTGGCCTCCGCTACACAAGGACTGACACACGAAGTGATTGTATTCTACGCTTGATAACAGAAGTGCGATCAGAAGACCAAGGTGCGATCACTGGAACAAGAAATTTATTGGCCTGACGTTTCGGATTCTCACTCGAATCCATCATCAGAGACATTCGCAGATAAAGGTGATGGTGGCACAAGGAGTGCAGTATTTATAGCACGTTGCTGCCGTGGGACCATGTGCACGCTGTAATTAACAGCTTTCGTAATCACCGCTGGGGTCGTAATTGATGCGGTGGTGGCTTGTCCGTCCGAGCCACCACCGCATCAGAGCGCACATGGTCCCACGGCAGCAACGTGCTATAAATACTGCACTCCTTGTGCCACCATCACCTTTATCTGCGAATGTCTCTGATGATGGATTCGAGTGAGAATCCGAAACGTCAGGCCAATAAATTTCTTGTTCCAGTGATCGCATCTTCGCCTTCTGAACTGCAACCTGGAACTCGCCTGTTCGCTTCTATCAGAAGTACGATCGGGAATCTGTGAGAATAAAAGTAAAACTACAGAACGTGGGATGTTGCAAAAATTCGAATCGCTGTTTTCAAAGAGCATGTCTGAGATGGTGGATTTCTTAAGTAGAAAATGCATTGATTTTGATCCTAATCTTACACTTGGTTGACAAGCATAGCCATGGTTGGCCGATTGGTGCAAGATAATACACTCTTTCTAGTAGCCTCGTTCACTTGTATGTACCTTGCACTGCTGCCCACTCGTGCACAAAATTTCTGAAATATTTCTATTAATTTAAATTTTCAGCCACACAGTCGTGCCACCACCTTTGTTCGTTGTCCGTGCATGTCCCCCCACTGTCCGTTATCACCAGCGAAGCAGGAGCTTCTCGTAAGTCAAAGTAGGCGGGGACATTTGTACTTTTATGAACCCTTAAATATGAAGTTTTGTAGTTTTGGAGTGTGAATCTTCTGACCGTATGCGTCAGACTGCATAAATGGCCAAATCACATTCTTAAATCTATTGTGGAATACAGATCTTACATCAGTGGGATGCAATACTTGTGAACACAAAACGTGACCCCAACCTCGTTTATGCATTGGCATGCTGGCTTTCCGACAGGAACCTTCCTTTTCATGCCTGAGCTGTCCGGGAAACTACCGCGTGCCTAATGTTTATGTAAAGCCAATTTGTTTTATCAGACAGTAGTGACAGTTAATTTCTCATGGTGGTTTTCTGTAAGATAGTGTTTCCTTTGGGTTAAAATTATGGGGATTTTTATTATTGCGGTCTGGTTCCCTTACTTCGTGTCATTTTTGAGCATGACTTGCATTTTACGCAGTCATGACGTCCCCGGAACTTGTGGACTGTAAATCTTTTAAAAGCAGACTTGTAATTATTTTCACGGTGTCTCGCGTAGAACGTACGGAACACAGTAGGGAAGGTTCATGAAACTACGGATATTTTTTAAAACGTTCATCCAGACAAGTTTCGCAGAAGTCTCCGGACAACACATTTATTTCGATGATTCTCGACCCTTATGTAAACTTACTCATGTATGCAGATGACTGGCGCGACCGGACCTGCACCTAGGCGTACCACCACCGCGTTGTCCACAACAGACATTTGATCAGGATTTTTACCAACAACGGGCCAGAAAGACGAGGATGACTGGGCAGCCATGCTCACGACCTGTGTAACCAGCGGGAGCGCAAGCGCATCTATCGGCAGAGGACCAGGTGCCAGAAAACTGCCATCGCACACCAGGCTGCGAGAGCCACGGTTTGCTGAATAATGGCACAACAGATGCTCACAAACCGTAAGGCCCGGAAGGGTGGCGCATAGCTCTGCACGGAGCTTGGGCCAACACCCACAAAAGGCTGGGTAGCCAGTCAGTCATAGATTGAGAGGCATTACCCATATGAACACACACTCCACACGTGTGAGGGGGCCGGAGGTCACGTTAAGGAACCGTGACAGCCTAACTCGCAGCTTACCAGTCCGCCACTCCACACAAACTGGGAAGACTGCGTGGACTGAGTTGAAGCGTTAATCGGCAGCCTTCCTACCCGCGGCGCTTGGCGCATCGTGATTGTCTTAGACGACATACGCAACAGAGGAGCCACATAAAGAAGGAGCCGATACGCACACTTCCCATTTGCGCGGGAGGTGGTAATTGAGCCCTTGCGTTGTGTGGTGTAAGTGCAGGTGGGAAAATGTCTGATGGTGTGGTGTAGCCGGCGGTTATCTGCCGCAGGTTCTCATGAATGCGGATATGGCTTAATAGGTCCATGCGGTGGCTAAATGAGCGTTGGCAGTGAGGGTAGTTGAGAAAGATGTGGCGAGTGTAGGTTGGTGTTTCGGGCACTGGTTCACCAGTCTCTGTGCGATGGATTCGCAAGTGAACGATCAAATTGATGCGTGAGGTAAATGTACGGGGACAGTGGGGACAGGAAAATTCAGCGGTGTCTGTCGGTTTCGGAGATGGTGGCAGTGATGGAGCTGCTGGTGGTGGGCGGCGGTGTGTGGGCTGGGCTAGGCGTGGGAGAACTAGATGTCGGGTTGTTGCCATATTGGGTCCGAAGATGTCGCACGGAACCGATTCGTGCGGGGACTGGGCGCTGGCAGCGCGGGCGTGTTGGATGCGGTTGACGGTTGGCACTGAGGAGGCCAGGCACTTGTGACTTTCAAGCCTCTCTTTTGGTTTTGGTAGGGGCGATCCAGTTTGCTTCGTAAATGGCGACGCTGGTCTTCCCTTCTCTTCGCCATGCCGGTCTCTTCCGGGCGAGGTCCTTCCAGGTCCCCAGGTTGATCTGCAGCGGTTTCAGAGAGTCCTTCAGAGTACCCTTGTAGCGTCGTCTTTGTTCTTGTTGACGAGTACTCGTGGCGACATCACCAAAGAAGAGTTGCTTCGGTAGATGTGTGTTGTCGACCCACACGAGATGGCCGCTCCAACGTAGCTGCATTTGCCTCAACATGGCCTGAATGCTGAGGATGCCTGTCCGTTCTAGGACTTCTGTGCCGGGAATCCTGCTTTGCCATCTCAGCTTCAGTATTATGCGAAGGCAGCTGAGTTTCTTGACATGGTTGGAGTAGACGGTCCAGGCTTCCGCTTCGTGGAGAAGTGTCGTCAGGACGACGGCCTCGTATACCTTCAGTCTGGTATTCAGTTGGAGGCCGTGGTGATTCCACACGGAGTTCTGCAGCCGGTCGAAGGCTTGACTGACATTAGAGATCCGGTGGGCCACCTCGTCATCGATTTTGGTGCTGTTGGAAAGTATGCATCCGAGATAAGCAAAATTGTCCATGGTTTTGATTTAATTGCCGTCGACAGTGATTCGAGGAGGCGTACAGTGCTGCGTGTTGGGTGGCGATTGGTGCATGACCACCATTTTGTCCGTGTTGATATTCAAACCGAAGTTTACACACCTGACCACCACCAGACCCATGCCGGGAGGTCCATGCTCCTTTGCATGTCCTCTTCGGTCGTGGTGTTGAGCGCGCAGTCGTCAGCGAAGAGCAGATCGTGGACGGTGGTCGTAGATAGTCGCGTGGGGGCCTGCATGCGCCTGCTGTTTAGTAGATGCCCGTCAGTTCTGTAGGCGATGTGTATCGCAGGGCACTGAAATGCAAACGGTGAACAGGCGAAGACAACAAAGTAGTTTTCAGCTTACCTGGGGGTCGCGTACTTCGTGGTCTCCTGCAAGCCTGCATACGCAGCTGCATCTTGGAGATGAAGAGGAGGTGGTCCATCCAGCCATCGGCGTCTTAGATCGCTTTGGCAACCCTCGCGTCTTGCCGGTCTCGGCGCCGAACGACAACATGGTTCAGCAGCTGTCAGCACCGCGATCGGGCGAGCATCCAGGTGGCGTTCTTCAGAATCGTCGGGCGGAAGGTGTTAGTCAGCAGGAGACGGTGTTTGGCGCAGGTCCCAGGAGATGGAGGCCGTTGTCGTTGCAGCTGGCGATTCCGTGAGGACCCAGCACTCCTCCCCAGGCAGTACACTCTGTCCCGACGCGGACATCGAAGTCACCAAAGACAGTCAACTTATCCGCCTTCGGCACAGACGCCAGCAGGTCGTGCAGGTCTTCGTAGAACTTGGTCTTCGCCTCGTCTGAGCCGGTCCTTGTTGGGACGTAAGCGCTAATGATGGTATCGAATTTGTCACGTTGAAGAGGCAAGCGGAAGCTCATCAGAGGATCATTGATGCCTGCGGCAGACACAGCAGTCATCCCACGATGTCGTTCCGGATGACAAAGGCGACGCCCGCGTTTCGTCGCCCAGCCCTGGGACGGCCGCTCCAGAAGAAGGTGTAACTGGCGCCCACCTCCACTTGGCCTTGTCCGGAGAACCGGGTCTCGCTGAGTGCAGCGATGTCCATATTGTAGTGTGCTAGTTCACGAGCGACTAGCGTCGTCCTTCTTTGCGGCCGGTTGCACCTGGGATTATCTAAAAGGGAACGAACATTGCAGGCTGCCAGGGTGTACATACTTACCCTAGCAACCTGTGGGTTGAGCTGGAATGAAAGAGGATGAGAGCGAAAGAGTATTTGGTTTGGTGTTTCGGTCTCGATTGCATGCATTGCAGTATGCGAGCCATGGTCTGCGCGCAGACGTCGCGAACCCAGCTTTATTTAGACGGATACGGGGTTACGGGGTTTAGTGGGAGAACGACCAATGGCCTGTGCCGCCTATGTGATTGCATGTCGCCCTCGTCGTAGGACTTTCGACTGCGGGGAGGAAGGGAGTAAAGAGAGTGAAGGGCGGGAGGGAGAAAGGGGAAGAGGAGGCAGACGGGGGAGGAAAACGGGGATCGGTGAAGAAGGGCGGAAAAAAGTCACGGAAGAGTAGAAAGGGGAGGAGAAGGAGGGAGGGGAGCAGAATTACCGTATGTGGTGATACACACACGGATACCCTCATCTGGTTGAGCCCGTCGGCCGAGGCGGTTACCGGGGTGTGGCCGCTAGGCAGAACCTAGTTTCGAGGAGCCACATGTGAGAGTTGAGGGCCAGTTAATGGACGCTGGCGTAGTCAACACCTGTAAGAGAGTGAGCGACCTACTGCGACCTTCACATGGACACACAACTGGAAACCCGATTTTTCCTCATAGTATTTGAGGAAATAACGAACCATTGATGAAGAGGCATATCACATCAGTGGGCATTTCTTTGCTTATCTGGTTAATTAGCACTTGCAGTGTATGGTATATGGACGATTCTGTAATTTTGTTCAATGCGTGTCAATATTGCAACTCCAGTTAGGTGGTATTTATTGTGCTGTGAAGCAAATACTCGGCAATAAACGGCAAATGCGCGTTCAGAAGACAGTATATCTGTCAAAGCAGCATTCTCGTTAGGGAATTCCCCATAGTTCTCTTTTAGTAAATATCGAAGTTTATCTTTTGCGTAAGTCGACACTAGGAGGACTTTGCATAAACTCGTTTAAAATTGCAAAATTCTGACCATTTTCTTATCATACAGTAACTATATTGGAGATTTGTTTTTATACGTGCGTACTACTACTTTCTTGAAGAGCACATTTTGCCGCTATCGGACAGAGGATTACGACGGGCTCCACTTACCGAACGATAGAGCTGCCAAGCAGGCGGCGGGAATGATGCAATGCAAAAAACACTGCCTCTAGCCTTATTAACGCCTGCTTAAGGTGCCTAAGCCGAAAATCGTCTTCGAAAAAACCGACCTCCAGATACAAATTCTCTATAGTTTAGTTTCCCTAATCGCCCATCAGTCCTCGGACTTAAATGTGCAAGAAAACGCCTGAAACATAGACTCGACTTTTTCTACTATCTTTAACATGCAAAATATTACTCAGGTGCGATTGCAGGACTAACTTGAAGGGAACATACTCCCAAGTCAATTGCTTTTAGGCAGGATTCGGACATTTGACTGATGTTCGTTCTTGTTAAAATTACTTTTTAAAGGAACATCCACAGAGATATTTTTCGATGCCTGTACAAAGTCAATCATATTTTGCAGAATAAATGCACGAAGAAATGACTTCTTGCACCTACTGTATGAGAAAAATCACATTTTCTCGAGATTTGCCACCTTAAAGACGGGAGTAGTGGTTGCTAAAAGCTTAAGAACCGAGCATATCTTAAAGCAGTCTGCATTTACAGTGGCTGTTATGGTTTCCAGACTGCGTTCCGCTTATTTGTATATTATAGAATCATGTATCTTTGTACGCCCATAGAAATCTGCCTTCTGATGCTCATGAAATAGTGAAAGAACGCGAATCACGTTGCATACTTTGTATTAATAAAGTTCAGGGGCAACTATGCGAAAGCGTCAAGCATTCCTGGTTGTACGGACCTTTACAAAACCGAAAAGGAGCGTTGCTTTCATACGGTTCGGATATAAGAAAATATATACGTATGAATTTGAAAACAGGCATCCCAAGAATCATAATTCGAAAGAAATAAGCTCTGTGGGAAAGATTAACAAGTTTTATTGTAAATTTTCGATCTTGGTTCCCCAAGTCGTCTTCAGACGTGAAGTCTATAATATCAGCAGAAAATCTTACGGACGATGAACGTTTCACAATCCGGAATAGCACTGTACATGCCTTAAAGAACCGAAATCCATTTTCAGTACTATCACACGAGGAAAGGAAAGCACTTAAAACATTAAAAAGTGACAAAAGCATTGTTATACTTCCTGCGGACAAAGGTGGGTCAACTGCGATTTTAAACAAAGCAGACTACAACGAAAAGATGTTAGCATTATTAAAGAATAGACCAACATACAAACCTCTTACCACGGACCCTACTAAAGCGCAGAATACGGCCATTGAAAAAGCTCTAAAACGTCTTACAGGAAAGAAGCAAATATCAGGAGATATTGCCAAATCCTTACGAAAAACTGAACCAGTCATTGCTAAGATCTATGGACTACCCAAGATTCACAAACCTGAGGTACCACTGCTGCCGATAGTATCGTTAATCGGTGCACCTAATTACAAGATTTCTAAATGGCTATTCCACAAACTCTATCCGCTGACAAAGGATTATGAAACATCAGTCCATAATTCAGCAGAGTTTCTGGACAAATTGCAAGAACTGAGAATCACAGCAGATGAAATAATGGCATCCTTCGATGTCGTTTCTCTGTTCACCTCCATACCATTGGATTTAGCAAGACACTGTACAGAGGAACGTCTCCAGTACTACGACACGGATATCCCTGCATCTGCTTTGCTTGAACTCTTAGACCTTTGTCTAGAAACGAACTTTTCATTTGCACAGGAATACTATCAACAACTGAAGGGAGCCCCTATGGGATCACCCATCTCTGGTTTTCTGGCAGAAGTCACGATGCAGAAATTAGAGGCCATCGCCTTACCACTAGTTAACCCCAAATTATGGGTACGATATGTTGATGACACGTTTGTCATTGTTAAAAGTGATCAACTGGAAATACTCCCAATATTATTAACTCAACGATTCCAGGAATCACATTCACACTCGAGATAGAGGCAGACAACAAACTCCCTTTTCTTGATGTCCTCGTACAGAGAGAGCCTGACGGGACATTTCACACTTCGGTTTACCGCAAAGAAACCTACGCGGAAGTTCTTTTGCATTACGAGAGAAATCACCCGATCCCTCACAAACGGAGTGCCGTGAGCAGCCTCCATAACCGAGCGAGGACCCACTGCCCTGACAACGAAACATCTCAAACAGAACTGAATTATTTGTTCAAACTGTTTTCACAGAATGGGTATCCTAGATATTTTGTACACCGATGCATGCGACGACAGGAGTTAAAAGAAAAAGAGAAGGAACTAGATTGTTCCGATCAGGCGCCCAAACCTAAAAACTGGCGAACACTTCCATACATTAAGAATGTGTCCGAACTAGTTGAAAGTCACCTGAGGAAACGCCAGATACATGTGGCGCACAAACCGACGACTACACTTCGTAACCAGCTTGTACGCCCTAAGGATAGGGTTGGCTATTTAGATAAGAAGGAAGTCGTCTATAAGATACCATGCAACACCTGTAATGCGGTTTACTGTGGTCGAACCGGGAAATCGGCCTCTACACGAACATCAGTTGGCCGTAAAAAGGCGAGACTACTTGTCCCAAGTTGCCATGCATACGTTGGAAACTGGACACAAATTCGCCTGGGACAGGACCCGCATTGTAGGTGTCTGCTCATCTAAAAAGGGCCGTGAATTTTTAGAGGCCATCCATTCTGATAACGCATGCATCAATCGACACGTAGAATTGGATACGGTGCACAACAGCCTCAAGGAAAAGTGGAAAAGGCATTAGCCAATCAGAACAATACACCAGCAGGAATGACAAGGCAAAATCGATTTTTTCGGCATGTTTAAATGTTGACTGTTTTGCACACTTACTTCACGTCTGAAGACGACTTGGGGAACCAAGATCGAAAATTTACAATAAAACTTGTTAATCTTTCCCAAAGAGCTTATTTCTTTCGAAAGAAAATATATGTATATATACATGAATGAAGGCGAAATTTCGAGTTCCAGGTGTATGCATAAGTGAAGAAGAAGAGTCGAGCACCGAAACACTTCGTTTATTGTCCTGACTTTGATTGTCCTCTGACGATGGACTCCTGTACGAGTTTGAAAGCTCAAGACAATAAACGAAGTGTTCCGGTGCTCGACCTTTCTTCTTCTTCTTCTTCTTCTTCTTCTTCTTCACATATATACATGATGTAGGCAGAATGTTATTACCGACAAAGACAGAGGAGACTGGAATGGCCATTGCTGGCTTATTAGCCGTCGTCAGCCAGTCATACCCAACCCCGAGGTGTGGGACACCTGGGGCTCGAACTCGCGACCTGTTAGTTCGAAGTCGAGCGCCTCTAACCACTGTGCCACGGGCTCGTTGCCCTGTCGGTTTCGATCGGGAATATACAATGGTAGAGGGGCGCTCACCGATCATCGTAATATTTTTGCGCATTGTTTCTGGAAGATGTAACTAAATTCATACCGATATGAAAAATAAATAGAAGAAATACACACTACTTAAGTAATTACACTTTCTGCGCGCAATTTGCAGATGACTAGAAAGCGACGCAGTCAAAGCCTGGCATGCTGGCCCTGTTCTCCAACAGTCAGTTCCGTGGCCTCAGCAGCACAGTGTTTTCTGTTTGAAAGGATTTTGTTAGTCTGATGCAATCTGCCTTGAGCTACAGTGCCTTCCGTAACTATGGGCATCGGGCTGGGCGTTTTGGCAT